CCGCTAAGCCGTTCTATCGCCAACGAATGATGAGTGTTTATAGAATCTGATAAACACATTGGCAATCGCTCATTAAAGAGGAGAAATATGGAAATATCATGAAATGGGCCGAATTGTGAAACATAGGAATTAGGCCAAGTGTTAGGGGTCAACACAGAAATCCTTTCATAGATCAGTACCACAGACTGAACCATTCGCGCAGTAGTGCGCGTCAGCCAAACTGGTAAGCAAATAAATGAATAATTAAACAAAACAAAAACTGAATGAACCATTGTTGATAGACTAATGCATCTCTCAGTTTCCTAAGGCACCAATTAACAACTTCAAAAGAACTTACAATAAGAAAGAATATCCTTGGCGGGCAATGCAAAAACATGATGAACAGCCAGAAGTAGCGTTGCGGTTCCCAGACACCGATGGCGTACGAGACGGGAGGGAGCATTCTGAAAGCAATCAGATTACACTACTCTTTCAAATTCATTCTAGAGTAGATGTGTTTTCAAACTCATTCTAGAGTAGGATGTGCAACCCTAATCCCTTAGACGCGGTAGGCGTGGTTGAGTACCTCATTTGTACGCTGCTGGGCTGCGCTTGTAGTGGGGTAATTTTGTTTTGAGACAATTATGATCATGCCTTTGTCCAGCGCAGCACAACATGGCAATTGTCTCAAATTAAAACAGTCTAAGAGTAACCCATCCTACGCCATGTTTAAATGAAGTGCTCAGCCACGCCCACCCTTTCTCAAGGATATGGGTTTATGTAGCTGTAGGAACTCTCCCATCGTCCTGCCTCGAACCTCGAAGTAGGCAGATAAATTTTGGCAGAAGTCCAAAGAAAGTAAGGCAAAGCTTCTTGCTGTAGAAAGAATTCCGCTTTTTCTGACGTTTCTAAAGAAGTTTTTGGCTTCATCAGCATAACTGTTATGGATATAATCAGGGCACGTTATGGTTGTGGAAACCACCAGCACACCATTGGTTGGGGATTTTGGTCGAGTCCATACACCCTTCCCTCTTTTTTTCGGGGTTGGTACGACCCCCCCCACTCCCCATCCCATTGCCTAATACTATTTCAGATTCTCACCTCCTATCATTTTTTCCCGAGTTTCGAAACTTCCCTAATTTTCTAAAACTTTCTGTTCGGCGAGGGGGAGGGAGGGGGAGGTGAAGCAATATGACACCGACAAGTTCCAGCAGCCTAGACCTTCAAAGCCATAGAAGGCAATTACGCCCCCTCCCAAGTGAGTAAAACACGATCCCCCTGTTGGGGAATCCTCAACAACGATGTGCCTTGGAAACCCCTAATGGGATAGGAAACTGAGACAGGCTGAAGCGCATTTCATTTCGCTAGATCCTTTTCAGTTGATTATTTTTCCCTTTTCATATCCTATAAACCAACTTCCCTCCGGAGAATGTCAAATTTTGAGAAACTTCTGACGTGAGAACGTTCACTCCAAGCTGCGGGAGATTGTCTCGAATGAGAAAATTTGGGGGACCAGTCATTTTTTTTCAAAAATTTCCATAGGCAATGATGCTGTGCCCAACTTGTTGTGCAACTTTCACATTTCAAGAGAGTAAAATAATCCATTCCACACATCACACACGTGGCGGTAAACATGACATGAACATTACATCATTTGCACTATGGTATCAACAGTGAGAGTTCATTGAGATGATAACGTTACACAGTAAGATGCTGTAGTAACTGGTTTTATCATTAGACTATTTGAAAAGTTCTCTATTATGGAAGCCAATGGCCGCCGTCTTACTCTCAACTATAGTCCAGAACACATCGGAATGAGATTGATTTTGATTTATTCAGTCGTTTTTTTTATCAAGGGTAATATGAGAGTAATAAATAGTCTATAACTCACGAATTAACGCCAGGGCACTGATCACTCTGTGTAAAGTTGGCGATGACATCAAATTGAAACACGTAGGTGTAGGCGATACAGAAATAGCAGCCAACACCAGGTAGCAAAGCTCCCATCGACACGATCATTCGCACTGAAAAAGGTCTTTCGAAGGAAGTTGGCACGATAAATCTCAAGACGTGTAGGACTGACATGCCTAGCAGGACTGAATTCGGTGCCCCTGAGCAAGCGCTGCGTAGCGCCTTTTCCAAGGAAGGTACCTTATAGCGCCCTATCAAGCTGCAACATACCTACCCGGAGCCCACCCGCCCACAAATGTCCGACTGATGCTGATGCTCGTATCGCTTCATTTGCGAAGTACAATATGAAGCGAAGGGATTGATATGAAGCGGCTGCGGTGCTGCATGGATATATTGGTACATACATGCAGCCGTATTTACCGTAGCGGTTGTTGGCACGATGCCATCGGTGATCTCGTCAAAAAATTCTCGTCCAGTGCCGTGCAGAACAAGGGTTTCATGGCAGGTTTTGACCGTTTCACTCGCTTTTTAGCCATATTCCCACTATTTGGCACCCCTGCTACCATTTCAGACAGAGTACCGAATTATCGTGCCAACCGCCTTTGATGTGAGTTCTGAAACCACAACTGGGATCGTCCCCATCAACCGCTTATTCTTACTAAACTGATTTTATATTTGAAAGGGCTGGGCTGATGGGAAGAGCATTCACCTTTCACATGAAAGCAGGGTCCAGTAAGAAAATAAAAATACTGAGTCCTCAAAATGGAACACAATATGGGGCCATCCAAATCATTCTCCGCAGGGCCTTTGTAAATAGCAGTGTCGCGTCCTGTGGTTGGAGAAATAATTTGCAAGTAATGATCCCCTAGTCACCTGGAAAGAACATGCCTGAGCCTCCTACCCTTCAGTGGGACGGTAAACTGGTAGAGCTCCGTCAGGGGAGGATAAAACAGTGTACTCGTGCATTGGGCTTGGCCCGATCAAATCTTTGTGACAATCCAAGCACCATTGAAGCACTACGGTAGTTTTGCGAAGTAAAAGGGACCGCACCAAAAAAAAGTACCTGTTATCTAACCGACGACAGACTTCGCTATTCATTCTTCGTTCCCCCCCCTCTTGAGACGACCCCGATTCCACATCGTTCCTAGCATCTTACGAGTTATTCCCAGCTTACTACTATTTTTTCCAAAAATTTCGAGCACATATGAGACGTAGAAAGACCACACAAGCCAAACTAATCCGGCGAAAAAAATTCTTCGCGCCATCGAAAAAAATTCTTTGGGAGCAGATGCGACCAAACTATCTTGCGCCCAAGATGCATCTGGCGCCCATGTTCAAACCATTTCTACGGAAGTCTGACGCAATGCGACGTCTTTTGCGACGGATTCAAGCCGTTGCGAACCTCGATTTTAACCAAATTACGGGGCGTTACTGTTATTCGATGATGACTGTAGTAGGTGTGACATTGAGCGTGGCTAGGGTGGGTATCTCTGGTAAATTTCAGTTTAGAGACAACTGTTGTTTTGTTCTCTGTGAGACAAAGACATGATTACAACTGTCCCAGTACCGAAATAACCCCAGGGAAAGATCAGCCGCTCCCACGTTTAATTCAAGTCCGCAGCCACGCCTAGCGCATCCCACGTTTTTGAATGTATTTTCCGAAGCGACGAAGAAATATGACCCCCCTCCCCGCTTTAGTGGGAGCCTTCCAACGATGGGTAGTGCGCGTGGAACCGGAAAATTCGACTATCTGAACAAATTTCCTCAGACCTCAGACCAGTCACTACCATCGCTCCCCTCGCTCATCCTCTAGCGACCAAGCACGACCTTTTGCCAGGCACTCCCTAAGTACGACCTGCGCTGATTTTGGAACGATGGCAACACGTCATTCTCTCTCATGTTTTTATTCAACCTAAAGTTACTCCTAGCAATCCAAATGACAAATCATCCCTGATTTTTTTAAAGAGTAGCAGACCTTTCGAAAACGTCCCGCGCCTTCGCGTTCACTGTTCCATTCCAGTTAGCAAGTAGCCGTTGGTCGAAAACCGAACCAGTTCCTCTTATTTTATGTAAAAACCCGATCGTGTCCAATTAAGCAACACATCCCGCTCGCTTACCAATTCCGTTGAAATTGGCGTCAATAGTTCCTACTTAGGAAATCTACAGGCTGAATTGATGCTCACATATTCATTAGCCTAACTGCTTTGTAAGGAGTCTGCCAATGAACAGGTTCAGCACAAGGGTGGTTTCTCAATAACAAGAAAGGATAAAGGTAGAAAAACTAAAAAAGCGAACTCCTCACTTTTGATCATCCTCTCCACATTATCATCTGTCATGACCGTCATTTTGTGAAAGAAAATTCACCAGAAAATCTGAAAAGGAAATTTTTAGCGACATAGTGCCGCTTTAGAATTCAAATTCAGCGAGACATATAAAACGTTCAACCAAATAAACCGAATGCAATCGAAACGAGATATCATGAAGATGATATGAAATGACCGGTAGGAGAGTGACGAACAAAAAAGGGCACGAACAGGTTCTCCAAAAAATAAAAATCCTTGTCGCCGAAATGCACGCAGGGGTAAAGCGCAGGTTTATCTTTGCGCCTTACCAAATCTGTCAAGATGAAGATCAGAATAACTTCCTATGTAGCTGGCACACTCCGCGGCGGCCGACGTGG